AAAAGAGATTGAGCTTGCCGACTTCCTCCGCAAGCACAGCATCGATGTGGGCCTACTAACCGAGACCCATCTAAAGTACGGCGACAGCTTCTGGTTGCCTGACCACAACATTATCCGGCTTGATCGCACCAGCTCCAGGGGTGGTGGTGTAGCGGTTATCGTCAGAAAGGGAATCAAGTTTTGCACTCTGCCCCACATCCGCACTTCTATCATCGAGGCCGTTAGTGTGGAGGTGGAATCGCCAACTGGAGACGTCCGGTTTATCGCTGTTTACTGCCCACGCCAGTGTACCGCAAACAATGAACTAGGAATCCAATTCAAGAAGAACCTGACCGCCATCACCCGTACTAGCTCCCCATACATCGTTGGGGACGACCTGAACGCCCGCCATGAAGCTTGGCGGAACTACCAGAGGAACCAGAACGGATGTCTATTGTTCGACCACGCACAACATGGACTGTACACTGTGCAATTTCTGGACGAACCAACATTCATCTCTCCGGCGGGAAATCCCTCCACGCTGGACTTTTTCCTGTCAAACATCGTACTATCCAAACAGGAGGCGCACAACGATCTCAGCTCCGACCACCAACCGGTGGTGACTGAAGTCGGTGTCAACGTGGTTCCTGCTAAAAGCTGCTTGTGTAAAGACTACCACGATGTCAACTGGGTGCAGTACGGACGAATGGTGGACAGCAACATCGATGAAAATCCACTGCTCGACACCGTAGATGACATCGACCGGGCATTGGAAGGACTCCAACAGGCCATATCCATGGCTGACGAGGCATACGTTCGACAAGTTCCTGTGAGGGGTAAGTTTGTTGCTATTGATTCCCACACCCAATTACTGATTCGGTTGATAAATGTTCGTAGACGCCAGTTTCAGAGGACTGGAGATCTGGGCAAAAAACGTGAAATGGCCGATCTGAATAGGCAGATTGCTTCCAGCATGGACTCACTCCGAAATGAAAGTTTCGGGCGTGTTGTCCAGAATCTGGATGACCACTCCAGACCATTCTGGAAGGTAGCCAAGGTCCTGAAAAATCAACCCAAACCCGTTCCACCTCTTAAAGTCGAAAATGATGACGATCGACTTGTAATCACCCCACAGCAGAAAGCAAATGCGATCTGCAAGCATGTGGCTTCATCGCATTTGCTTGGCTCGACTATGTCTCCCCTTGTCTTGTGCCTCCGGTGGATATGATTACAGTACAACACATTTGCTCAGCGCTGAAATGCACCAAGAACATGAAGGCTCCCGGGTTTGACGGTATATTCAACTTGATCTTGAAGAGACTCAGCATGAAAGTGCAGTCTCTTCTAATCGCTATCTTAAACAGATGCTTGGAACTGCACTACTTTCCAAACATCTGGAAAGTAGCAAAAATCAAACCAATCTGCAAACCCGGTAAGGATCAAACATTGCCTTCAAACTACAGACCAATCAGCCTCCTTTGAGCGCTGAGCAAATTGTTCGAGAAACTCATTCTCAATCGTTTGCTCATGTTTGTCGAGGAAACCTACCTGTCTTCTACCGAAACAGTTCGGGTTCAGGAAGGGGCACTCCACCAATCACTAGCTAGTACGGGTGATGAATAACATTCGAAGTAACAAAGCTGTATCCAAGTCCACAGCCATGGCATTGTTAGACGTTGAGAAAGCGTTTCACAATGTCTGACATGATGGGCCTGTATGCAAGCTTTGTAACTTCAACTTTCCTTTACATCTTGTTAAAATCACCCGTAACACCTCGTTTAAGGTATCGTTGAATGGTTGTCTTTCAGACACGTTTTCCATCCCAGCAGGTGTCCCGCAAGGCAGTCTGCTGGGCCCCTTGTTTTACAGCATCTACACTTCCGACATTCCTCCCCTCGGTGACGGTTGCGTGTTTTTCCTGTTCGCAATAGCCGTCAAAGGAAGGATGCCTCGCGAAATAACGAACAAACTTGAACGATGCCTTAACGCCTTTGCTGATTATGCCACCACGTGGAAAATTAAAATCAATGCCTCCAAAACACAAGCGATCATGTTCCTCCATCGGCAATCGCCCAAACTGAAACCGACTCCATCTTGTACTGTAATCATGGATGGCACAAGGGTTGAGTGGTCTACCGAAGTTTCCTATCTCGGGATGTTGTTCGATGAAAAGCTCCTCTTCCATTCGCATGTAGAGAAAACAGTAGTCAAGTGTTCTGTCTTGGTTAGGTGTCTGTATCCGCTGATTTGCCGCAGATCCCGCCTCTCAAGGTGAACAAACTGGCTGTCTACAAACAAATCATAGCACCTGCGATCCTCTACGCAGCTCCGGTGTGGGAATCATGTGCACAGACTCACAGGAACAAAATCCAAGTCGCTCAGAATAGAGTGCTGAGGATGGTTCTTGATCGTCCTTTCGACACTAGAATAACAAATTTACATGAAGAGGCAGGTATTGCCAAAATAGATTCCAGAATAAACGAAATTAAGACTTAATTTGCACAAAAATGTAATTTATCAGAACATGCTTTGATAAGCAATTTGTATATAGTAGATTAGGTGTATATAGTCTTCTTCTTCTTATTCGCATTTTCAAGCTTATTGTTTAGCGCATATTAGCTTATTGCGTGCTCTCAACTTAGTGTTCTAAATGCACTTCCACAGTTATTAATTGAGAGCTTTCGATGCCAATACCAATGCATGAATTTGTATATTGTGTGGCAAGCACAATGATACTCTATGCCCAGGGAAGTCGAGAAAATTTCCAACTCGAAAGATTCCCTCGACCGGACCGGCTTGGTAATACCGTGCCTTTACTGACTAGGCTATGATGCCCGCAGGTGTATATAGTAGTTGTAGGTTAGTTGTAGTTGTAAATAGTAGTTATAAGTAGTCTCTTTTTTCAAATTTAAAACAAACCAATCCCACCAAGGTGGTCATTTTTAAAACAGGCCTGATAGGACTAGGAACTGTAATTAATAATAGTTGAAATTTCAAATCAACTAAAGTGGAAAAGACGCATCGGTGTCACTTGATAAGTTATACATGTAAACCACACAATACAAGAAATAAAGATCATTTATAGTCAAAGTCAAAAGTGTTATCTGATGGCCATGGCACACAAATCAACACTCACACTTACACATACACCGCTATGCTGAAAAGAAAAAAAAAGAATTAATATTCATGAAAATGAATTTAACATAACTAACCTTTTGTAATTCATTCCTGAACCAAGAACCCTTGCGTGAATCAGTCCATATTGTAATTCTTGCTTACCGTTCGGTTTGCAACATTTTCACTTCGAGCACATTCACTTTGCGGTTACTTTTCTTTATTTTACATCCACCTCGGTTACCTTTATTAGGCAGTTTGTTACCATCTAGATGTGTTAGCTTCATAGAAAAACCATTGAGAATCCTCGGAGAATTTTGCTCATGCTTCTAGCAGTTCAGTTGGGCAACCTTACCCAAGTAACAATTTTGGTTTTAATAAGGTTCTGTACACCATTATTTAGACTTGTAGCATGCTTTAAAACCACTATAAAACTTTCAATGCTACTTGGGTATTCAACACGACCAGTGATCTCTCGTTATCGAGAGTGGCGCATAAGCCACTGTGCAGGTGTTCTTATAGAGAACATTCGACGACGACAACAAATAAACACGGTACCTTTCATGTACGGACCACCCTTCATACATCTGCTTTTTGCGTTAAACCTAAGAGAAGAGGAGACAATACGGAGGCGAAAACGAAACACTTTTCTGTCAAACACGAACCAGCTCGTGATCGGCTGATTTGTAGTGCGTAAGATAGAGATAGAGATAAATATACAGCAATTCCATAGAAAAAAGTTATAGTGAGTCTCAGAATTTCATGAAAATTAGTATAGTTCTTCCTTATCATGTAAGGGTAGTCCGAAAAATCTATTTTTTTTTTTCAAAAATGCCATTTCTTCAAAAAATTATAACTACTGAACCTCTTAATCGATTTTTACGGTTGACCCTTCAAATGGAATATGTTTTAATGTTGTTTTAGAAAAATTAAAAAAATTATGAAACACTCAGAGATATTTGATTTTGAAGGAAAAAAATACGTTACAAATGCTTTTCTTGATTTTCACTGCGAGGGTCTTCAACACCTTCCGATTTTAGTATTTTTAATTGAAAGATCATTTAATTTACATAACACATCAATTGCGATGTCGAAGAAGTAGTTTTGAAAATAATTTTTTTTTTTTAAATAAAAAATCATTGTTCCGCAATATATACACCACACGTGCATGGAAACGATGAAGACGCAGGGTAGTTCACAATGCGTCTCCATCGACGAAATCTATGAGTAACTTACAAACTGTTCAACCTGCAACATTCAGTTCAACCTGCGGGCTGTCCATAAACCACGTAGACCAAGTTTTGAACACTGCAGATCCTACCTTCCCCTCGTATACTTTACTAAAATTTTAAAATATTTTTACCGAGCGTATACTTTGGCTGGACTCCCCTCTCTCATTGAAGTCTTCGTGGCTTCAAAACAGGCCCCAGTTTGACATTATTAATTTTGGTATCAAAATTCTGGGAGAAGTACTTAAATGCTACAAATAATGACGAGGTCGAAGAAAAATAAGTAAAATATGAAGCATTTATTTTCTTTAATTACAATTTCACACAGTTTTCTTTCTCCCTTTATTGCCGATGCAACTAAGGTTAGAATAAAAAACACTTCTTTTTAGCGTAGATTTCTCTCGCTTTAAGCTGCAAATATTTATTATTTTAAGTAGATTTTAAGTAGGAATATCTATATTTAACTTACGTTTAGTGTTTAAGCAAATTTTAATTGTTTTAAGCAAGAAAATATAATAGTTTTATCGAATACAATGCAATTGAGATCCACGTTTCACAAAATATCTTCACCTTTTGATTTCATGTAATCTTCGACGAATGACAGTTGCGCTGGCGGCTGTAGCGATGACAAGCAGCGGTAGGGCAACCAGATTCCTCGCTCGTCCGTCCGTTACGAGTTCAAGGGGACTGCGGATAGCTCGTAGCAGTACCAACATTCCCCGGTCCGTAAGGTTGAGTTTGGTCCTGTCCACTAGCCTCGACCTTACCATCTTCAGCTACCTCGATGACGGCGAGCTTCACTGCCGGACGTCGGATGACTCCCGCTTCCGTACGAACCAGAGCCTGTCTGGTAACACCATCTTTTCCACGAATAACCTTGACGATCTGACCTCGAATCCAGGTATTTCTCTTGTTCTCATTGGCAACGAAAACCAAGTCACCCACTTCAATTGGTTTAGTGTCTCGGAACCATTTGGTTCGCCTGGGCATCGTTGGAAGGTATTTGCGCAACCATCTTTTCCAAAATCCATCCAGAATGTGTTGTGCCAGGTTCCAGCTGCTGCGTAGACAATCGGTGGCCTTCGTAGGTTCCTTAGGCAGTTGCTTAACTGCATTTGAGCTACCCAAAAGAAAATGATTGGGTGTCAGCGCTTCTTGGCCGGCGTTGTCCAGCGAGATGTATGTCAAAGGTCTTGAGTTGATCATACTCTCGGCCTCTAGGATGATTGTCTCGAAGGTTTCATCGTCGGGTACTCTTGGTGCGGAGGTCATTGTTTCTATAGCGACCTTGACCGATCGCACAAGTCGTTCCCACACCCCACCCATGTGGGGTGCGGCTGGAGGATTAAAATACCATTTGGTCGTGGTATTGGCGAAGGTTTCGGCGCACTGCTGGGTTTGGTCTTGTAGCTCATTCGTGGCACCGCGGAAGTTGGTGCCGTTATCAGAGCATATCTCGGATAGGGCACCTCTTCTAGCAATGAATCTACTGATGCACATCTTGCAGGACATCGAAGACAAGCAATGTGCCACCTCCAAATGTATCGCTCGAGTTGTCAGGCACGTGAACAAGGTAACCCATCTCTTAGCGTGTTTGCGACCAACTTTGACTGTCACTGGCCCGAAGTAGTCCAGCCCGGTGTAAGTGAACGGACGAAGAAATGCTTCCAGCCTGGCCCGCGGTAGTGGCAAACCCAGCGATGCGTTGTAAACCTTGCACATCTGACATCTAGCGGTGACTTTGCGGACCAGGTTTCGTAGACCTGGAATGTAGACCAGTTGACGAAGCTCATTGACTACCGTCTCCAGGCTACGGTGGTGACATCGACGGTGGTAGAAATCTACGAAGAGAAAGGTTACTGGATGGTTCGGAGCTAGTATAACGGGATACTTAGCTTCGATCGGCAGGTTGGGGTCGGCGCCGATACGACCATCCATTCGCACCAATCCCTCTTCATCGATGAAAGCTGACAATTTATACAACGGGCTCGATACCGGCACCGCCCTTGAAGGCTTCGTAGAATGTCGACTTTGCAACACAGCTAACTCCTCAGGAAACGTCTCCAGCTGAACCATCTTCCACAGGTTCACTTCCGCTTTGCACAGAAGTTCTGAATTTATCGGTGTTTCCAACGACGTATCTTCGCTCATCACTCCTCCGAATTTGAGAACGTACGCAACGGTTCGCTGCAGTTTTTTCCATCTCGAAAAACGTTTCACATCGATCACAGGCTCTATTTTCACCCGTCGGTTAACGAGTACCGGGCGAAGTTCTTCTGCTGCATCTGTTCCTTTCCAATTTTGTTCTGGCCAAAACTCCTCTGGACCCCATAGGAACTGTGGTCCTCGATACCATGGATCTTCAGGATCAAAGCACGGCCCGTTGCCCCACTTCGTTGCCTTATCCGCTACATTCTGCATCGTTGGTACTTTCTTCCATTCGCTTGGGTTGGTCGATGTCAAAATCTCTCCAATTCTGCAAGCAACGTACGGTCGATACCTGCGGAAATCGGAGTTGATCCAATGAAGGACCGTCGATGAATCGGTCCAGTAGAACTGTTGATGAATAGGAAGCTGATGATTCTCCAAAATCGACTGTGCTAGCCGGGTTCCCAGGATGGCAGCTTGCAATTCGAGCCTTGGGATTGATAGTGTTTTGATTGGAGCGACCTTGGCTTTCGCTCCTATCAGCGCACAATGCGGCTGACCAGCATAGATAAAGCAAATATACACTACGCAGGCGTATGCAGTGCTGCTTCCGTCGACGAACGTGTGAAGTTGCAGTGGCTGGCAGTCTTCTGGAACAGCGTCTCCAAAATACGACCTTGGAATACGGACATCGTTCAGCTTTGGCAACAAGTTTATCCAACGCTTCCAATCTCCGAAAATCCCGTCATCTATCAAGTCATCCCAGTCACAGTTGGCTCGCCACAAGTCTTGAATGATGATTTTCCCTTGAATCACGTACGTGGCGAGAAATCCAAGTGGGTCGTACAGGCTCATAACCGTCTTCAAGATCTGGCGCTTCGTAGGACTAACTGAACCGTCTAACAAACCCTTCTCTGTACCAGGCATGTAAGCGGAGAAGGTCAGTTCATCTGATTGTGGTAACCAGCGGATACCCAGGACAGATTCTGCAACGTTAGACTCCTCTGAATTCCACATCTTCTTCGCAGCATTTCTTTCTCCAAGTCCTTCCAGTACTTCTCGGTAATTTGACATGAAGTTTCGAATTTCAAATCCCCCTTGGCTATGGACGTATCTGACTTCCTCGGCCAAACGAATGACCTCCTCCACGGTATCTCCGCTGCTTTTGCTTGGTTGGCCATATGTTGGGAAACATTGAACTCCTTCATAATTCTAAATGTGGACCAACTTTTGGGAAGTGTGGTTAAAATCCTGTATCGCTCATTATTGTCTCTTCTTTCTTTATATTTATCCTTAAGTTGTATAAGGAATTCATTTTCGTCCGACAAAGGTGCGTTATAGGTGGTAACGATCGATTCAGAACTGGTTGTTTCCACTTTGAAAAATGATTGCAAAAAAAGAAGAGTTTAAGTTAATAGTTGGAAGAAAAGAATTGAAATTTAAAGAAGAATCACATGAATTTTCAAATAAAGCGATTCTGGATGGTCCTGCCACGGCTTCTTCGGTCACGGCATCATTGGGTTCATACAGTTTGTGGTAGCAACATTGACAAATGAAGGAGCTACACTCATCTATTTTAATCTTTTTTTCCACTGCATAATCGTACAATTTATTGGTGATTTTTCTGCACATGAACTAAACATCCAAACACCACACATTGAACACTTACTTTTCATTTTTAGATATTCTTCGATTCAACTGTTCTAGTAGGAAACTTTGTTTTCTAACTGATCATTTCTTTCATAACATTCCTTGTTTTATGTGAAGCATTATATCGTACCTACGAGTGCGTGATATACCTACGAGTCTAATAGCGAATTCGTTTATTATCGGGGTTGAAATTCTGAGACTCATTATAACTTTTTTCTGTGGAATTGCTGTATAGATAGATCCTGTGAGATCTCGACCACCGAATACGCTTCCTGTCTCTTAAAACGAGTGGCTTAAGCACCCGGAGAGGACCACTCGTCAAGGTTTGATTTGCCCGGCAAGAAACCCAACCTCAGGCGGGTTTATTAATTGAAGTGACCGAAATTTAGTTTGAGAGCGATTCAGCAGATTGAAATCCCATGAGGAATTGAGATCCTTACAAACAGAGACCGCTTCAAATGGTCCTAAGCGAAAGTTAATGCTAACAGTCGTTCTACCGAAACACAACAACCCCACTCACATTTATCATCACTGGATGTACTTTCTCTTTCAGATTTCCTCCACCGATCCTGACACGTGATTGCGGAGACTGTTTTACCAGGCAGTCCAACCTGGAGTAAATTCAACTACAACAAAAAATACTACACAAAATATTACAAAAAAAAAATGCAAAATGGAACGACACCAAAATGTAAAGAATCTAACAAACAAAAATTAACATTACTGGGAAAGCTTTTACTTTACGAAAACAACATTTATTTCAGGGCTTAATAACGGAAATCATTTTATGATTTATTCATGTTCCTAACCTGAACCCCGAACCGTGAACCTTGACGTTGAAGCGTGGGGTCTAGAGAGCGCGACTTAAATCTTTGGTTGCGGTGTGCCAAGCAAAGCCATCTATCGCTAGAAGCGATGCGGTGCAAACTCTAATCTGCACAAACCGATCCTGCACAAAAAGCCGTCGAACGGCTGTTCGACACATTTCAGATACATGTCCACACAAAAAACATTATTCACCTTACCTTTATAAGAAATTTGCACATACAATAAGTGGACCGCACGTAACTTTTTACCTACAGTTTGCACTCCACAGGCTAACGGAAAGGAACGAGAAATTATACATTGAATTCAGTCTTATAGACTCCTCACATTTTTAACTTCACATATCACGAAAAACACACCGCGACACTAAGTACACTTAAGTACTAACTACTCGCACTCCCGCCTCTTCCACGGTTCAAGTCAAAGTGAACGAGTAGAAGTTCCAGAACCCTCAGATAGGTGTGAATTCAACGGTCATCAAACGACAATTTTCATCATCTTTCTCTGTAACCATTCAATGCTATATCTCTTCAGTATACTATCTTTTTTTTTGGTTTATTAATTTATTTGATAAGGCTCAACCGAATTAACTTGACAGAGCCGAGGATTCTTGGTCACTATACAATACATTTTAAAACTCTAGTCAAAAGGTACAATACAATAAACACTTTATCTTCCGCTATCCAAAAAGCTTCCTCCATCAGAACTGGAGCCGCTTCCAGTAGTTTCATTGTATGGCAAATTGTTGTACGCCAACGAGGGTAAGAGCGCGTCCATTGCAGCAATGGACGCAAAACGTGGTCAGCACTCACACACTCATCACGAAACGGTTGCTTTCCAAAGTCGACGACGCATCGACCGAAAGAACTGCTGATGAAGAACAATGAGGAGGACCACACAATGGTTGCACAATGGAGGAGGACCACACAATGGAGAGTGGTCTGCTTTTGTCGACAGCCAAGTGAACACTGAATATACTATCTTGCTCAAATCTATTTTCGGTTACTCTTTTATACGAGAGAACGGTTCGGATTCGAACCCCGGACTTTAACGAACAGGTAGCGTATTCGGTTCAAATGGAATGAATTAGTTGAACGTATGGGGAACTCGTTGTTTTTTGTATGTCAAGTGTAAGTGGACGTACGTTCCTTGGCGGTGAATACCTTTATGAATTTAATTGTAAAAAAAAACAACAGTTCATGCAATATACTTAAATGTGGAAAATTGTATAATTAGGAATTCAGTGCAAATAAATATCCAAATAAATAACTAAATAAATAAATGGAAAAGCGTACTTGTTACAAGATAGAGATAGAGATAATAGAGTAAGAACCCAGTTGTCTCCTCTTCCTCTGAGGTTACACTGCCCCCTCGGTAGAATCTTTGTCGTTTACACATTTCTTTTGTTTTCAAAACAAACTCACATCCAAACAAAGCAATGAGCCACGATCTTTGGAGCTGTTCCGGTTCCCATTAGAACACCCTAGAGGAAGCCAACCGCAAACGATGGTTCCACAATATCACCACCTGCCTGCAGGGCCATAACCTGGAAGTACTGGTATTGAAAAAGATACACATCGATCTGACCACCAAGAAGGCATACAGCACCGGTTTTGATGACATTGACACCATCTTCAGTGTAATATATGCCTTCGCCGTATACTCCAGTTCCGTTACAACGAAGTGAACAAAAAGTTCCTGCCAGACACTGGGAACCCAAACCTACCGCCAAGGCCCAACTGTCAAGTAGGAGTACACCCAGTACACCCGCGACTGGTACCAGATGTTGTTGCAGAAACACTCACGAGAAGTTCAATTATCTATCAGTTCAATTTCAACAAAATTTCACCCATTTACGATGCTAAACGGTTGACCCTGAGAAAGATCGAAACATTGCCATTGCGAGTGAGGATCCTATGGCAGCGAACATCCTCTCGCGTGCACCGCTTCCGGAATGCCTGATCGGAGATTTCAAGAAACGTTTAGCGAGAATCGTGTTGGCCACCAATCCATGCCAGCTGCAGTACTGCATTCAACAGATCGTTGTCTGCCGGGCGGCTATGGTGATGAAACTTTCCCGCAATGCGATCCACTTTCCCCAGAGCAGACAGCTGGAGGCAGTGTTGCCACATTTTCATCTGTACTGGGAGTTGCAAACATCTTTTTCATCTGTTCATCGTTTCTTTCAGTCAAAATTCATATCACAAAAATCTTCTATTTTTCACGTATATACAAGCGCCGCATAGTGTTCTGAACTATTGTCACCCAAAAAAAAAAATCTTGACTTTCTGAAAAACTTTTCCGTATACATTTACTTTCTATCTGGTCAGGATCTAGAGATATTTTATATGCAAGAGTTTCACATGTATAGTAGCGCCTCAAAAACTCTGAACTACTGTCCACCAGCAAAAAAACCTTGACCTCCTGAACAACTATGCCGAAGACAGTACCTTTCTATCTGGTTGAGAACTCGAGATAATTCATATGATAATTTCACGTGTATACTAGTGTCGCGTATACTATACTAGTGGTCAAGGCGACGATGGATCGAGTGATGTGCGTTGTTCGAGTATCGGGGACACTCTCGAGTCCCTTTGAATCTCGAAGGGGGTTACGGCAGGGTGATGGACTTTCGTGTCTGCTGTTCAACATCGCGTTAGAAGGTGTGATCAGAAGAGCTGGGATAGACACGAGTGGCACGTTCTTCAGGAAGTCCATCCAGCTCCTTGGCTTCGCCGATGCCATTAACATTATGGCACGGAACTTTGAGACGATGGCGGAAACGTACATCAGACTGAAGGCTGAATCTAAGCGGATTGGACTTGCCATCAACGCATCAAAGACAAAATACATGAAAGGAAGAGGTTCTAGGGAAGACAATGTTAGCTTCCCACCCCGAGTTCAGATTGACGGTGGTCGATGAGTTCGTGTATTTGGGCTCACTGGTGACCGCTGAAAACGATACCAGCAGAGAAATTCAAAGACGCATTATGGCAGGGAATCGTGCCTACTCTGAACTCCGGAGTACGCTCCGATCGAATAAAATTCGCCGCCGCACGAAGTTGACTGTCTACAAGACGCTGATTAGACCGGTGGTCCTCTACGGCCACGAGACCAGGACTATGCTCGTGGAGTACGTGGTGTTTTCAAACGGAAGGTGATACGTACCATCTACGGTGGAGTGCAGATGGATGACGGAACGTGGAGGAGGCGAATGAACCACGAATTGCACCAGCTGCTGGGAGAACCATCTATCGTCCACATTGCAAAAATTGGGCGACTACGGTGGGCTGGGCACGTCGTAAGAATGCCGCACGACGACCCAGTGAAAATGGTTCTAGAAAGCGACCCAACAGGAACAAGAAGAAGAGGCGCGCAGCGGGCAAGGTGGATCTACCAAGTAGAAGGTGACCTGCGGACCCTTCGCAGACTACGAGGCTGGCGAACTGTGGCCATGGATCGAGAAGAGTGGAGGCGACTTCTTCGGACAGCAGAGGACAACAAGGCCTTAGCCTGATTGGTAAGGTAAGGTACTAGTGTCG